AAAGGGAATAAATTAGTAGTATGGGATTAACAGATATACACTACTATATATAAAATATATAAACAACAGGGTCTTACTGTAAGCACAGGGAAGTATATTCAATATCTTGTAATTACCTATAATGGCAAAGAATATGAACAAGAAATATATATATATATATGAGTCCCCTTGCTGTATACCTGAAACTAACACAATGTTGTAAATCAACTATATTTCAATTTTTTTAAGTTGCTAAGAGATTAAACCTTTTATTCTTGTGATGAAAACTTTTAAGATTTATAACTATGATGATGAATGTTAACTTACTGTGGTAATCAATTCACAGTATATACATAGTTCAAATAATCATGTTGTACATCTCAAATTAATAAAATATTATATATCAATTAGATCTTAATAGAAATAAAAAATGAATAATAGCTACTAATTTCAGTATCTTTCATCACCATTCAACACAAGCCAGCTCGTCATCAGCATCATCACCATATACCATTAATATATTAGAGAACTTAAACACCATATTTTTATGTAGAATTGAAACCATCTAGAGCTTCCCTGGTGGCTCAGTGGTAAAGAACCAGCCTTCCAATGCAGGAGATGCAGGTTATGTCCCTGGGTCGGGAAGATCCCCTGGAGAAGGGAACGGCTACCCACTCCAGTGTTCTGGCCTGGAGAATTCCATGGACTGTATAGCCCATGGGGTTGCAAAGAGTCAGACACAACTGAATAACTTTCACTTTACACAGCTTCCTTTTATATGAAGAGAAAACAGCAATAGTTCACTTGGGTGTAAAGAGAATAATGGGTGTAAGGATTCTTGTGTCTCAGCTGCACCACTTCTGCCTAACGTCACTTTTTAGTCACTTTTTAAGGAAGTAAAATTATCATTTGAATTGACAGGCAAATCAGATAGATGGGATCTTTTCCTTTCAAGAAAGCCTGAAACCATGGTGAATTTCAGAAGACTTGCAGAATGTCTTGCCCATAGCAAATGAGTTCATTTCTTTTATCTCAGACTTAATTGAGCCATCTCCTTTTCTCTTCACTTCAGCAGTGTCTAGCATATTATACTATATCAGAGTGCTGTTTTAACTTTGACTATGTCTTTCCTTATTTTGAAGCATTTATCTTTTTTAAATGTTTCTGTCATTTCTTTGGACCAACTTCAGACAAACCATGAAATCTAGGACTAATAATGCAAAAAGGATTTTTATGGACATCTGTGGGAATTACCTTGGATTGGGAAATAGAAGTATTAATGCTAAAGAATTGTGATTAACTAAGTTAGAAATCCCTTAACCACTGGCAGTACTATTTTTGCAGGCAGTGCATTGGTGAAGTAGGGATGACGGCTGGCCAAGTTCCCAGTGTACACAGTCGGGACTCAATACATGTTTTCTTGTTGAACAAATGAGGGTTTTTTTGGTGGGAGGAGGTTTATGGTCACTAGTATTGTTGTTGGAGTCAGGAACATTTTGGAGTTGCCTGTAACATTGGTGGCTCAGACCATAAAGAATCTGCCTGCAATGCAGGAGACCCAAGTTCGATCCCTAGGTTGGGAAGATCCCTGGAGAAGGGAATGGCTACCCACTCCAGTATTCTTGCCTGAGGAGCCTGGCAGGCTGCACTCCATGGGGTCACAAAGAGTCGGACATGACTGAGCACCTAACACTTTCACATAATGTTATAGCTACATATAACATATGATTGCTGGTTCGGTACATTAAAACAGAGTATACCAGTCGGCTCTTGCTATGTAACAAAATAATTGGAAAATTCTCAAGGTATGTATTTGTCATTCATGCATCTATTGGTTGACTGGAGTTGTGCTGGAGCTCAACTAGCACAACTCCTAGTTTTGGGTTGAGGTCAAGTCTGTTTCACATGTCTCTCATCCTCCTTGGGTCAGCACACCACTGGGTCCTGTACTTCTTATGGCACATAAGCACAAGAAAGCAAGCGCAATCACCCAAAGACATTACAAGCTTCTGCTTATGTCATATTTGCTAAAACTCCATTGGCCAAAACAGGGCATATGACCGTGTCCAAATTCCTGGGCCAGGGAAGCACGTGCCCTCCAGTACTTGGTCACTTTACTTTGTATGCCCTAGTCAATTTCCTGGTCTTCTTGGAACAACCCAATCGCACTCTCCCCTCAGAGTCTCTGCATTTGCTATTTTCTCTGTCTGATGCACTCTTCCTTCAATTAACTACATGGCTCTAAGTCTTATTTCTAATAACTACAGACCTTTAAGTCCCTAACATTTTAGCTCACCTGCCCCTTATTAATGAGGTCTTCTTAGACTCCCCTTTCTGCAGAGTCTTCCTCACTGCCCTTCCCTGGCCCTCTTTTCTGAAGCCTGTATTCCTCCATAAGAATGTCTCCATGGAGACCAAGCTTTTTAGTTGTGTATTGCTATAATCCCAGTACTCAGAACCCAGGGTCCCTAACCTCTAGGACCTCATGCCTGATGATATGAGGTGCAGCTGATGTAATAAAACTAGAAATAAAGTGCACAGTAAATGTAGTGTGCTTGAATCATGTAGAAACCATCACCCCCGCCTTGGTCCGTGGAAAAATTGTCCTCTACGAAATCGGTCGCTGGTGCCAAAAAGGTCGGAGAATGCTGCTCAGAGCAGTTGCCTGCCACATAGTTGGCTTTTGAGAAACATTTGAATTTATAAATAAATCTGTTTTGATATTTTTTTAACATTTAAAATCTGGCTCAGTGTTGAATAGTCCAGTGGCATTACTTTAATTTCAGGTGTCATTTAGCTGTTTTCACTTTTCCAGTATAATCTGACAGAAAATATTAGGCTGTAAACATTTTTCAGTGGTTGATTCACCTCTGCTCATGCATATATATAATTCTGATTTTGATTCTTAAAGGAGTTTAGTTAAACCCAAAGGAGTTTTTACTTACTGTGAAAATCTTAAGAACAGATTATATTTTACTTGTTTATGTTTACACCTAGGATGTAATAGGCCTTCAAAAACTGAATAGACACATTGATCACTGCCATGAAAGTTTCCACTGAAACCAAGAAGCCAAGTTTACATTCCTACTCAGACACATATCTTTGAGACTCATAGATGATAGTTATGACTGGTTGACATCATTAGGTTTATACTATTTTTTGATCCTTGAAGTAATTCAGGGAGAAGAATGTCAGTCACTTCATTGAACTGCACGTAAACCTTAATCACAGTCCAGTGGAGTTCCTAGAGCTCCAGTGTGAGGTAATTAAACTGTCAGAAATATTAACATTGCTGCTCATGAATGTCTCTGTTGGTTCTGACTTATTCTGTAATGTGTACAATCACTAAAGTTGACTTAGTGCCATGAAAAATGCCTTGTGTTCCCCAAATCAGCAAAATTTTGCAATTGGTAATGGAACCAAGAGATATAATCAACCCTGCAGCTGTCAGCATCCTGTTCCTTCTGGCGATATTTCATTCATTCTGTCTATTTCAGATGATGGTAGTCTAAAAGCACAGGCAAGAAGAAACTACAGATGCTGACTTTCATTCTTTGATTTTTAAAGGCATGAATATGAGCAAGTAGTTTGTGCGTATGGATGGATAAATATTCTAACTTCCTTTTCCACCTTATGACCTGAATTCTTTAGCAATCATTTCCTATCCTTAGTACTTCAAAGAGGTTTCATATGGTATGGTACCAGGAGACTCACTGAATCAGAGGGGTTTTTGTTTCTCCCAGGTCCTTAGCCCTCCTTTCTAAAAACGGTATACAGCCTCACATTCACCTTGCCTATGATTTTATCTCAGTGGTGAGCATTGCTAATGATTCTTTCAGCTTCTGCTTTAAGAAAGAAAAGGCAAAAACTTGGTAATAAATGCAGGGTTATAATCAGAGATGAAATTCCAAGTGGCATAGACCAAAGGAAATGACAAGCATATTTAAGTCATTACATCACTGGCTCCCTTTTAAAGTCAGATGTGAACCCGAGGTTGTCCTTAAGTGTGTCCATTATTGTTGATTTCCTGAAACAAGGTCTTGTTTTAAATGGAAGTGACAATGTACTGAACAAACAGAACTCAAAAACACGTTATTTTCACAGTTGGAAGATTGAATGTTATGAAAAATGACTTTCAGAGACCTTCAAAGTTCAAAATAATTTTGTTTGCTCTTAAGAAATTTCTCCCTTACTGCAAATGCTATTTGAGGTGTATTTCCTTGACACACAAATAAACAATAGAGACACAGATCAACAAACTTTACAAGGAGACTCCCATCCCCAGAAGACCATCCATGCCTAACCTCCTTTCCTTCCAAATCATCTTTCTTTCTTTGCAGAAACAAATTCTCAAAAATTAAAAACAAGTTTTCCTTTATAAGCCTCCAAAAACATAGTTATGAAGTAACCCCATGTAACAAAGAGGAAAGGAACATAACTTCCCAGTATCTCCATATGTACAGTCCTTAAAATACCAATATTTCATTACCTTTATAGATCACATGAAACTCTTATTTCTCCCTGTTAAACTGGACTTCAAAGGTACTTGAGTTTTGTTTGTATTTTTTTGTTAAATGTCAAAGGAAAGAGTGGAAAAAATACATCAATGTCCCCACTCCTTACATTCATAATGTGAATTCAAAATGTCACATTCTTCTTTTGTGCTGAAGAGACACACTGCAAGTGTGCACTAATCCTTTTTTATTACAAAGAACAGCATTTCACATTTGTTAATGGGACATAAGCAACTTATGGCAACTTTGTCTTAACTTCTAAGCAGGTACACAGTTTTCTTTTCCAAAGATAATGATGTACATAAATCCCTGCATGAAATTCTTCATCCCTTGAAGGAACTGCTCCCTAATTAGTTAGCTTGAGAGGTTATTTTTATTTCTGTTATTTATGAACAAGTGGCAAAGAGTTTATGATGGATTTTAAAATGCTATCATGAACCTTTTCTCCAGTCTCACAGTTTTTCCCTAAAGTGTAATTTGCCATTATTTGTGTTTGCTTTCATTTAGGCGAGGAAGACCTTCTCAGTCCTCCCCAGGACTCAAGCACAGGGTTAGAGGAAGTGATGGAGCAACTCAACAACTCCTTCCCTAGTTCAAGAGGTAAGTGCCATGACTCGGAAGTCACTCAGACTCACCGGAAGTAGACTGCTCACTGCCGTACACAACTGGCATGTGTAGTTTCCATGTTAACATAAACAAGTGCTGACAGAATGCCAATTTGGGATCATTGTGAGAAGAATTTCCTTTCGAATGTGAATTTCTGGCTTGGAGTGTTTTGAATTCAAATAGCCTGTTTCCGGAAATAAGAATACTAACTTAACATTCATAAGGTTGTCTTCCTTGCTTGGCACATTAGTCTGAAGAGTTAATTATGAGATAGCTTTTACTATGGAGCAATTATTAAGTGAGATTTACAGATGAGGAAATTAATGCCTTGATGGTGCCTTTACCAGGGACATACAGCTACCAAGTGATACAGCAAAGTGCAGAATATGCCTAGTGTACAGTAGCGGTGGGCACTTAAGCTTGCAATCTGATGCCCTTTATGTATCTTTTAAAACTGTATCTTACCCTTTCATTTAAATGTAAGTACAGTTAAATATATATGTACTAGTTTGTTATTTTTTTTTCACTTCCTTAGATAGAATGCAATTTTCCCAAAGAAAGGCATTAGTTTCTTGGACTATTTTTCTTGGTTCATTGCTCTAACATAAAACAAAGTCACTGACCCACTCCCCCTTCAGTGAATAAGAAGAATGGCAGAGAGCATGTGGACAAGAGTCAATAATATTGCATTGCAAATGTGAAAATTGCTGAGAGTGAAAATCTTAGGAGTTCTCATCGCAAGAGAAAAACCTGTAACTTTGTTTGGTGACAGATGGTACATAGCCCTATTAGGGTGATCATTTCGCAATGCATACAAATGTCAAATCACTAGGTTATACACCTGATACTAATATAATGTCATATATCAGTTATACTTCAATTAAAAAAAAACATAATGGCAGCAGTCACCTGTGAGCAAATAGAAGGAAATTCTAGAGAAGCCAAGGGGAGAAAGCATAAGGCTCTGTGGCCAGTGATTAGGACCCCTAATGGGCAGCCAAGGAGGGAAGGGCAACAGACAATGGGGCTATTTGTTCCTCTCCATAAGGGCAATGAGGAGGGTGTTTGCAGCCCTATGTTTTTCCTATCTTTTTGTTCAGTGTCAGTTAACAATGGCCATTTCCCAGCTCTTTGATGTGCGAGTGAGCGTTGTGCAAGGCACATTAAAAGCAATAACGTTTTGATAGAGCGTTGCTAAGGAACCGTAAGGGGAAGCTAATTTTAAATGTCTGCACCAGCCATCTTTTCACTGCTGAGTGCCTCTGATGTGTTGATTTTAAGAGATAAAATTCTTGTGTCTTCCACCCACCTCCTTATCCCCCACCTGACCAGTCTCCTCTCCATCCTGCCTTCACTGACTCCCTAGATGCCCTGATTCATAACAAGAAGACAACATGCTGGTCTGACCAAAATTAAATGCATCCACCTTTATCCTGCCTCCTGTCGCTAGCTCCTACTATGTGCCAGCGGAGGTGTTAGGATGCAAAGGAGAAATGCCAAGTTCTTGCCGTCAAGGTGCTTATGGTCAGCTGGGGACACAGCCCTCCAAGACGTTCAAATCACGGCACAATTAACTGTATTACTCCTATGATGGAGACATCTGCGCCATGAGAGAACCCTAGAAACCCCCTTCGAAATAAACAGGAGGGCGTCAGCCTCAGGCAGAGCAAGGGTCTTCCTCAAGATCACACAGCTCCTCATGAGCCCAGTGCTGTGGAGCCCAACTCTCACACACATTTCACTGACCCCCAGCTTTCTCTGGCAGGTCACAGGCCTGCGTCTCATCCCCAGTCCTTGACCTGAAAGCTTGTTTGTGGATTCTGTGGGAAGTTAGTGGTCACCTTGGGCATTTCTTTCACATCCAAACCACTAGAGTAGATCCAAGGAGAGACTGGAGCAGGGTGCAGGGCTCTGCTCCCCCAGTGGCAGTCTTTTCATACCCATACCGGATCCCTGGCCATCCTGATTATCTTAAGGTGAGAGCTAGACATCCTCTCCCTGTATTCCCCTCTTAAAGTCTTTGTGGCTAAACAGCACAGGAGTGTGAAAGACCAGAAGTACACCTCCTCTGATAGGGTATTTGGCAGTCAGCCTCTGATCTTACAGTCACTTGTATGATGGTAATTTACTTACATGGAAACCTGGGAAACTCTCTTCAGGCCGCCTGGTTAGTGTTTGCTAACAGTGCTTATGGAAGCATTTCATCCCCTGAGTGCTAATTGGACTTCTCAAATAGGGCATAAGCAGGCTTTGTCAGAAACCAATTCCATTAACCAAATTCCTACTTATTCAACAGTACCCTGGTGGCCTGAAAGAATTCTTTCATTGTCCTGAAGCAAACACGATGAAATCAACAAACAAACACAGAACAAGAGAGTAGATAAGGTGCTGGAAGAGCAGACTGGTCTCTCCGTGATTTGATGACCCTGACATTTTTTTGTTGTTGTTAATTCTTACCAAATTATACCTTATTATAGGCCCTTTATGATTTTGCACCCCATTGCAATGTGTAGGTTCTTTTTCCCACACTGCCAAACAGTTCTCATATAACAGCAGGTATATGCTGCTGGTATATGCGGCAGATAGATGCTCTAGTTCAGCTCAGTTCTGACTCTTACCTACCCAGAGACAGGATCAGAGTCCACAGGTTAAGGTCTCAGTCCCACAAGGCAGCCTCTCCTCTCCTCACTTCAGAATGCCAATTTTAAGTCTGGGTTGTCTGCTGGGTTTCTGACCCACTGGCCATACACTAGAGATTCCAACAACCTGCTCTTTGGGTCAATTAATTTGCCAGAGCAGCACACAGCACTCAGAAACATTTTCTTTACTAGATCATGGGTATGTGATAGAAAGATATAATCAGAAGAGATGCATAGAGAAAGGCATGGGGAAAGGGGGTGGAGCTTCCACGGCCTCCCTGAGCTCACCACTCTCCCCACTTTGTCTCCACACGATCACCAGCCAGGAAGCTCTCCAAACCCTGTTCTTTCTGGTTTATGTGGAGGCTTCATTACAGAGGTATGACTGATTAAATCATTAGCCACTGGTGATTTAAGTTAACCTCCAGCCCCTCCCCTCTGGGCTCCCTAGTAGCTCAGTAGTAAAGAATCTGCTTGCAGTGCATGAGCCACAGGTTCGATCCCTGGGTCGGGAAGATCCCCTGGAAGAGGGCATGGCAACCCACTCCAGTATGCTTGCCTGGAGAATTCCATGGACAAAGGAGCCTGGTGGGCTAAAGTCCGTGGGGTTGCAAACAGCTGGACACAACTGAAGTGACTGAGCACACAGACATGCCTCTCCTCTTCCTAGAGGTCAGGGGGTAGGACTCAAAGTTCCAACCCTCTCATCACTTGATTGGCTCCCCTAGCAACCAGCATCCATCCAAAAGTCACCTCAATAGCACATAACAAAAGACACTTTGCTGCTGCTGACCACAGGAAATTCCAAGGGTTTTAAGAGTATTGTGCCTTGAAGAGGGATGAAGACTAAATATATATTTCCTGTTATATGTCACAATATCACACCTATCTGTCCATAAATTTAAATGGATAAAATGTCTTCTCATTGTAAAAAGGCTGATGATCAATGCACTCTAAAAAGTGGTTTTTCAAGCATCTAGATCCCAGATAGGTGGGAACCAGAAGGTTGATGATGCTGACTCCCAATTACCTCATCACCAACCAATCAGAAGAATGTCCATGAGCTTATCACAAACACAACCCCCCTCCCTCACCCTGTCTTTATAAACCTTTCGCTGAAAGCCTTAGAGTTCAGGTCTTTTAAGCACTAGTTACCCTGGACTCCTGGCTTGGCTCCCTGCAATAAAGCAATTCTTTTCTACTTCACCCAAAAAAAATAAAAATTATAAAAGTGGATTTTTGGATACTTTATTTCTAACTAAAGGCATTTTTTAATTTTCAAAGAATGGATAATATATACATACACATACATATGTGTGTGTGTGTGTGTGTGTGTGTGTAGTAGGATATAGTGGGACTATATTAACAATTGGTAGATACATTGATATTAAGCCAAAAATCTTGATATTGTTAATGTCTCAGGATTAGAGACTCTCCCAGATTGGAAAGGCCTTGAAAGATCATTTTAGCATCATTGATGTTCAAAACAGTGGCTTTTGATCTTTTCTGATCATTATCCATAATAAGAGAAAATATTACATCTCAGACTGGGGTAAAGATACAAGTTATTTGTGTGTGTATGTACACACATATATGTATGTACCCACTGTGTATATAGCAAACATATATTTATATACTTACATATACACACAAAGATCAGAAACAAAAGTTTCATGACAATACTTTCTTTACTACATACAACCACACTGTTTCTGTTTTATGTATTTAAAAGTAAAATGCTTGTTGCAACCCACTATATTGATTTCTGATCCAGTGGTTTAAAAACACTCTTCCCTAGCAGTTGAAAACCTTCATACTGCTATCTCTGCTTCACTAATAACAAAGGAACTGGTGACTCAACCAAGGCAGGAAGCTGAAATAGTTTGCGTAGAATCAGGATTCAAACTCTAGTTCTTTTAGTTCCACATACTGTGATCCATAATTGAGCACACTATTCCCCACACTTATTTTAAAAATCTGTAAAATGAAAATACAGGTACTATATTTATTGAAAACAATCTGTGTGTAAGTGGACCCACACAGTTCAGACCCATGTTGTTTAAAGGTCAACTGCAGTCTTTTATTAATAAGGAAACAAGCAAGATCCATGCATTGAAAAAATTAGAACAGACATACAAAATTAAATGTTGCATTTTCACCAGGAAAAAAATCAGTTACTGCTGTAACTGATCTCAGCTTTCCTGACCCAGGTGAATATATTTTTTTAAAAAATGATGTTTTAAGAGTTTCACCATGGAAGTTTCTGCCAAACCCTGGCTAGTGTCTTAGAGAACACTGGATTTTTCATCTAAGTCTGCCATCCACGTTCCCATTGGTGTATTACAGAAAGTGGAGTTCATGCTTGCTACAGCTGTCTTGGACAGCTGTTTGCATAACTTAAAACAGATGTCAGACCCAAAGGTCTGACATTTAGTGGAAAAGTGCTATTAAATACCACCTCATGGTTTCCTTAACCCTGCTAGGTAATTGCCCACAGAGGAAAAGACTTTTTAGTATTATGTTTTTCATAAATACAAAGCATATAAATAGGGGAGTGTGTACTTTAAATTCACAACTTTTTTGTTACACTTTCTCACAGTTTTGACTTAGCAGTAACTCTTCAGGCATCAGCTAATCTTCACCATTCCACTAGAAGTACCTGGATACCCAAAGGAGGGAAGAGCCTTGTTCAACTGAGCTTCAGCTTTTATCTTGATGGCTTTGGCTAAACTGTTCTACGAATTAATAAAGGGAGCTGCCTGCTCCTCCGCTTAGTGATCAGGTGATAGTCAGCACTACCCTGTCTCAGAATGGCTCTGAACTGCAGGCAGTTCACACTGAGAATGTGTGCGTGTTTAGTTTTGTGATCCTATCTTTCCTGATGAATCTCTAGCTCTGGTTAGTTACTTACAACCACTGGAGGAGCTTGAGGGCCTTGGTGTATTTTAAACCCAGAATGTTAGCCAATTTGTAGTTAACCTATTTAATCTACCTATATAATCTCTCCCTGTGTCTATAAATGGAGGAGTTGAACTCTACTGTAATAAGAATCATTATCTACCATAAGACAATTTCTAAATCCCCACCATCATTCTATAGGAATGCTACCTGGTTAGAACGAACAATAAACATCATTTTAACATCAACTCTTGAAGCGATCTGTCCACATATCTCTGATCATCTAGCAGTCAAACAAAGAGCTTTGTTGATGCATGCACATTCATGAAAGAAAATGCTTCCCTAGTCTGGGTTTTTATTGGCCCCTGTAAAAATGAGGTGTCATTGTCCATATAGATTAATGACAGGATCCCAGATAAGCTCTTAGTGCAGTGAGACAGCTCAGGAAGTGGTCAGCACTGTTAGTCAGGTCTCTCTGCTGCCTGCATCATCTTTTACCTGCTGACCTGTGCTACATTATTTTTATCCCCAACAGCCCATGCCATCCTCTCTCTCTCATACTCCCCCTCCGAGATAAGCCCACATACAGTCTGTTAAATGCCTCTAAATTAGCAACCCAACAGCTCCGCAAAACCTACAATCCAAGCCTTGTCTGTGGTTCTTTCATGGAAGAGCAACAGAAAGCCTGCAGATGGATGGAAGCATCCTAGTCCCGGGCTCCCTTCTCTTTCCTCTCAGCTTCCAGAAAGGATCCAAGCTCCTTTACATCAGGGGTCAGTGAACTGCAGTCTGTGGGCCACATCTGGCTCACTACCTGCCTTTATAACTAAGCTGTCATCATAACACAGCCACCCCCACTCGTTTACATACTGTCTACGGAGGCTTTCTCACTCCAAGGGCAGATAGTTGTGCCAGAGCTGAAGAGCTGCTCCAGAGACCTTGTGACTGGCAAAGCCTGAAATACTTGCTGTCTGGGCCTTTACAGAGCAACTTTGCCAACTCCAGCTTTACATGATTACATTGTTGTCCACTCTAGCTCATGATGTATGTACAGTCACAGATTTCAGAGCTGATCAACTTTCAGCTCAGCAGAACTGTGCCTCTGAATTGATTTATACATTTATATCCATGTTCACCAAAGACCCTGCATTTTCAATCAACTATAGCCATTTCAGTCTTCTTTCACTTGTAATGAAACAGAGATCCTTAAAAGGAACTCATTCTTCTTCAACTTTTAAAAACCGTCAGTGAACTGAGATACAGAAGCTAATAAAGATACCCGGAAACAGGAACATCCCGGGACTGTGACTCTGAACAATGAGTTACAGCCAATCATCTCGGCTTCCCACTGCCTGAGGAAATGCGACTTCTCCAGACCTGACCAAGCCCTTTATTTAGACTCAGGACTCCCGGACACACTTCCTCTTTCTCTTGATTCATTTCCTGACAGACAGCATACCACATTGCCAGATGGACCCCCTAACCCAAGGTCTAAGGAGACTCATTTCCAAAGAATGTGTTTTTGCAATGCAACTTTTATCTGGTACTTGATTTATTGGTAAAGATTTTTTTTAATGACGCAACCAGTGAGCCTCTGTTTTGCCAGCATAGAAACTACTCCTGATAAAAGCAGAAAACATGTGTTTTAAGTCTTTTTGAACACACAGTGGACCTCCGTTTGTACTATACTAATAAGCACACCAGAACCCAAAGTGACGAGGGAGGGTTTTTGAAACATCTTAGGGATCATGTAACTTGGGGAGGTCCATTTCACAGAAAGCATGGCTTCTGAAGAGGTGCCTGAAACAATCCAAAGCATCTGCTGCACCTTCAGCAGTGACCAGTTGATCCTGAGCTCTGAATATGGCTTGGTGAAGAAGTAATAAAGATCTGTAACCTTTATCATTCTAGTAACTATAATTACATTCCAGAACTAAATCACATTGCTTTCTAACAACCCTGACCTTCCTAAGGTTCTGAAGCCTTTAAAAATGCACCCAAGTCAAGGACCTACTGTATAGCACAGGGAACCAGACTCAATATTTTGTAATAACTTATGTGGAAAAAGAATCAGAAAAACAATATATGGGGACTTCCCTGGTGGTCCAGTGGTTAAGACTTTCCAACGCAGGGGGTGTGGGTTCGATCCCTGACTGGGAAACTAAGATGTCACATCACTGGAGGCAAAAAAATCAAAAATCCAAAACATAAAAAAGAAGCAATATTGTAACAAATTCCATAAAAACTTTAAAAATGCTCCACATCAAAAAATTCTTTAAAAAACTTACCCCCCCAAAAAAGAGTAAATAACTATATGTATGTATGTGTATATATATATGCGTGTGTATATATATATTACACACATACACACACACACAGACACACATATATATATAGCTTCCCAGGTGGCTCAGTAGTAAAGAATCCACCTGCAGTGCAGGAGACAAAGGAGATGTGTATTCCATCCCGGGTTTGGGAAGATCCCCTGGAGAAGGAAATGGCAACCCACTCCAGTATTCTTGCCTGGGAAATCCCGTGGACAGAGGAGCCCGGCAGGTTACAGTCCATGGGGTCACAAAGAGTCAGACACAACTTAGTGACTAAACAACCAACACAGCATACATACATACATACATATATATATGAATCACTTTACTATATACATGAAACTAACACCACATTGTAAATCAACTATACTTAAATTTAAAAGATAAAAAAATAGACCCAAGTTACAAGCCAGAACCAGTTAGCAGCCCTTGGCATCCAAGCTAAAGGACAGCAAACAAGGCCAAGTGTCCAAAAACATCAAAGGACTCTTGGCCATGACCTAGTGTGGCGACCTTCCTACCTTAGTTCATCTGGCAGTTGCCAAATACCCACAGTGTCAAGGTACAGTAGAGGTATCAGGGATAGAGAGGTAGGTGAGCAGCATGTGGACCCGCCTTCAAGGAGCCCATAATCTTATAGGGGAAGAGAGTTAATTCTACCACCAGGCAGTATAACCATGAAGTAAAAGATTTCTTTTTCATTTTGCCAGTGGTGTTAAGGAGAATAGATGACTCATTCATGCTGGGTTTGGGCCCTCAAAGATGATGCTGTTCTCCCCCTTTCCTTTTTCCCATTGTCTGCTATGGTCCTACCATTGGAAACACCCACAACTGCTGAGCCGGTACTTTTTTGTCTCTCTCTCTTTTCTGGTTTGAAGAGCATCGTGAATACCTTGACCATGCTTTTTACCTCGTCATGCCTGCCATTTTTGTATCCCCAAGAAAGGGCTAACTCAGGAAAATTCAGAAGGAAGGCGGAGACAGGAGAAGGTCATACTTTGAAAACCTTTACCTGTATGCTAGAAGTTCAACCCTAGGCTTGAGTTTTGAAAGCTTTCTTCTAGATGAGTAGTTCCAGAGCTCTCTGCTCTCAATGAGGAATCCCAGGTTTGTAGGTCCTTTTGGAGCCCCTGACCGTGGTGTTTTGGGGGAAGGGGCTCTGCTCTGCTTATATCTTGCTCTACATACTGGATTCCAGAGAAGATTGTTTTAGGAAATATCCCACTATTAAAGCCACAGTTTAACAGCCAGGACTTCACTTTGGGGTACCCTGGAGATAAAAAGGAGATCACATGCCCGAGACATGCCAGGTACGATCAGCAGTCCCTCGTTTTCTGTCCAGTTATAAATACTAGCATAGCAAAACTTTCTCACCACAGCCTGCTTTTCGAAAACACATAACTGCATATACAGACATAGGATTCTAGAAAACCAACAAGGCCAGGGGGGTCTGTGACAGACCCTCCAGGCTCCTGGGATCTGCTGAATCATGAGATGGAAGGTGAAGGTTCCTTGCTGAATTGTGCTCCGTGGCTTGCCCATAGTGGGACTTAACTCTTTCCTGCTTTGTTTCCATTTTCTCCAACGCCCCCAGTCCTGTCATAGACATGCTGAGCTCCTTTTCTCCCGAGAGGATGGGGTCTAGGCTCCAAGAAGCAGTGTTCCACCTTGCTTTCGCAGTGCAGATTTTTGGCACCCCAAACCAACTACCGTGTATGGTTTGGCGTGTTGCTTGTCAAGTGGACAATCAAGAGATTCTGAGATTTTTGGCAAGTAAACTTGAGATTCTACAGTTGCCCTTGAAAACAATGCTCAGCTTGTCAGTCTTCCCTGCTGAGCCAACTTTCATCCACTTAGACACATGAGCTCTATGGATCCTCTGAGTGATGTCTCCTGGATCATGTTATCTGTTTACACCAATTTTAAGTGTATGTAAAGGTTATTTGACTGGATGTGTCTTTTGGGTTTTTTGTTTCTGTTTTTTTTTTTTTTTCCAGAAGGGGATAAATGAATTGTCATCTCAACATTTGTTTGGTAAAAGAAGCAAATTGGTATGAAACTGTATATTTATGCATGTTTTTTTTTTCCTTTCTGATATCTCTGCCTCTTCCTCTCTCTATTATTAAAGGAAGAAATACCCCTGGGAAGCCAATGAGAGAGGTTAGTGAGATTCAGGCTCACAGCCATGGCTTCTGTCTGTCTCATCCCGCTTTCTATGTTTGGCGTCTGTGTAAGAATTGTGTGCGTGCACGCGCATGTGTGTATTACACGTGTCATCATGTAAGGATGGTAGTCACCTCTCCACTTGCAGCTCATGAGGAACATGCCTAAAATGTTCATGGCCATTGTCATCACCATGACAACAGGACCAGGGGTTGGGGGAACAGGACTCTCTTAAAGGGCAACCCTTTGTAGTCCCTAAATTGGAATCCTGAAGTTCATCATCTGTTGCCATTTGCAACACAAACAAAATCTTCACAATACATTTAGCCTCACACATAGTCGATGAGTCATAAAGTTTCCTTCCACTTCCAAGACCCTAGTGTTTTCTGCCAGTGCCCTTGGTTTTTATTCTTCTTGGATGACTTCATTTTGTTTTCGTTTTCTTTTTCCTGGTTCCTACACTCTCTCTTCCCCACCTTAGCTAACATTGTTTTTTGAGCACTTTCTGTATGCCAAGGACTTTTCTAAGCACTTGCCATCTTTTTCATTATGTAATCTTCACAACAAGCCTCTGAGGTAGGTACTCGTATCAACCCTGTTTTAAAGATAAGGAAACTGAGTCAATAAACGGGTAAGCAGGGTGTCCAAGGTGACAAAGCCAGGATTTGAATCCAGGCAGTCTGGGTCCAGAGCCACACTCTTAACTATATGCTTTACTGCCACTTAGAAAACAATGTGTGAAAAGCATATGACATCTCAACTTGCCCATTAGAGGAGTTTGTTTGTTTGTTTTTAACTTGGCATCTGGAACCAAACAGACCCACACCCAGTCAGGAATAAAAAGTGAATTTTGGAGTCTAGAGGGACTTTTTAAATGCCTTTTATAGGTAAGGTACAGTGTTACCACTGAATGTGGTTTGGGGTTTAATAGTAAAAGCCACTTCCTTCTGCATACTACCTGGAATATTATCTAAACACTGAATTACCTCACGAAATGGCATGTTGAGTGACAGCCCAAATGAAACAAGATCGTGCTTACCAAGAGATGAGTATGAAGGAAGCAAGAAGGGATGCTCTCCCGTGGATGGCAATAGCATATACTCTGGTGCGAGACAGGCTGGATGGGTGGGGAGGCCTTAGGAGAGGGCTCTGAATCCTTAGCGCAAGCATGGACAAGAGTAGCTACTGATTCATTTAAATGTAAGGAGTCACACTGGAAATTCTGCCAATGCCATGCCATGCAGGTCAAATCGACTGAATGATCCTCCAGTGTGTCTCCACCTGTATTCCCTTCCAAGGCTTGTGGGGTCCGAGGGAGGGAGTGGTAGGCTGGGAGGAAAAACAGGAAACCTGAATCTGTGAAGTATTGAATGCTCCTGACGGTTTGCCTTCTAATGTGAGACTTCTTGGGTTCACTCTGATGGTAAGTTCTCCTTAAAATTTATTTTAACTTGTGGTAAAAAGTTGCACTGTGTTTTCTTAACCACCCTGAACATATGTCTCCTATGAATGACTTTTAGAAAAGACCAGCACATGTAATTGCAGTCCCATAGGCATGTGGAAACTCTACTACCTGAGGTGTATTACAGTCAGACAAGTTTCCAGGAAGTCAGGAAATCCAAATAATAGTGATGTTTTTTATTGTTATGAAAATATCCCCCAAATGTACAGTAGACCAGATATTTTTTTCCAAGATTAAATTCTGGAAGAGAAGCACATTTCACCACAGTATTCTGGCTGTTCCTTTGGCCAGTTGAATGCTCACCATTTCTTTGGGAATGGTGTTTTTTAAAAAACAGAGTGCCAGATTGCTATTGAGGTCTTGGGGCTCTGCCAGAAATTCTCAGTTCCCAATCACTGCAGCAGACAGCTCCCTGAGGCAGAGGTGGCGTGTGCAACTCAATGTGTCACAGTTCGCGCCGACTTGGAAAAACATACAGCTAGCCTAATGTTAAATGCACGGTGCCTTTCTCGTCAACAGTCCTTGCTTAAGGATGGATGAAATGAATACTTTCTATAGACAGATTTTTCGGTCTACTTGTGCCTGAAGCTCATCACAGATGTCTGAATCCTGCCTGTTTTTCAGGGTCTCTAGTGCTCCTAGTTACGAGATTTTCATTTTGGCTTTAGAACAATCTGTCAGGTGAAATGAAGGCTCTCACCAGTCTGCTGCCTTCCACACATGGATAATAGATGCAAGATACAAACCTTTATTTTCTGTGTCCCTATTTGTGTGTGGTTTTATGCCTCCAGCAGGTTCAGGTGTATGATTCTTCGGGGCAGTATTTCGAGCAAGAGAATTGTTTTTTCTGGCCCGAAGGAAAACCTCCATGGAAAACTGTAAAATTGTTTTTCTGGTGAAATGGGTATAGGTAAACACAGTCGTGAAAGGCATCATGTAGATAGGTTTATTTTTTGGACAGCCATGCAGCCTTTTGTGAACATTTAACCATCTGGATAGGTTAACGGCCACCTAACATTTTGTGGGAGTGTGTGTGGTGTATTAAGAACCATGACCCTCTGCTTGACCTGGTAACTTTGTAAACAGCAGATACCCCTATAACTTAGGCCTCTTAAGAGACTCAAGACTTTTTCTTCCATGTAGTAACTGAACACTATTTTGAGTAGGAAAATACCACCTGGCTATCTAATCTATAAATGCATTTCTTTGTCTTGGTTATCTTTTGAACTGCAATCTACATCTCCTGGTACACAGTCTAAAATAGGCCCTTTGTAATCATTGTTAATCAGCTGATAGGGGAAAAAGTGATTTCTGGCCTGCTTGATAATACATGTTTCTAGCCACCAGGTGGACTATACTATAGGCAGCTGTGGGTCGTGAGAAATGGTTGGCATTATATTTAGGTGTCAGTTTGTAAGAATCTGGGTTTTGCTTTTAGTGGTTTCAGTGACTGCTGTTAAGATTGCGAGCAATTAAAAATTTGCAGTTAGTCCATCTATTTTCAATCACACATGAATAATTGTGCAGCTTTCCCAGAGTTGCTGGGCAGTCAAAAGGAGACACAAGGGAAGTTCTCTAACCTGCTGGCATCAGGCTGATTATCTGCGCTCTGAGGAGCAGCAAAGGACTCACTATGTCTTTGTGTGGTTTTTATGGTTTAGAAAACCCAAAGGTGATTTTCGTTCTTCACTGAGGCCTGCCAAACTCTTGGCCTACTCTATGCATAGTACATACGCTCAACCAAAATCCAGAGTAAATTTTATTTACAGCACAATTAGTCCTCACTGAAACTTTCTGCCCTAATAAAGCTCAAAGAGATTTACAAACTTGGTCACCATAATATAAATGGCTGCACGGCCTTAAACTTTTAATAAGTCTTAACTTGATCTGGTGCCATGGCTGTTTAAGTGCCAGCCTATGAATCCTCTTCAGATCTTCTCGTATATTTAAAAATGATATGTCTCTTGAAATAAATATTAGACTAGAATGCCTGCCCTAGTCTATCTTTAATTTTTATAGGGATTTTAACAATTATTATGGGAATCTGTAAAGTTGATACATGGCAAGGTAGTAATAGCCTAGTAAAGCATTTTTCCTTTCAAAGGCAGTAGTTGAATAGTAGAATGATTTAATAATGTCCAAGAATTAAAATTAGCTGTATAAAAATATGGGACATACATGAAAAGGCAAGTCATAAAGTATAGTCTCAAACTATCTTACTCTATATCTGAATTTCACCACAAAGTACTGAGAGACATTGGGCTGCCTTTATGCTCCATGCTGGGGGATTAATACTAGGTCATGTCATATTATTATTAAAAGGCTATTCTTTAACCCTCATTTAGAAGGAGATCAAAAATGGACTCACAGGATACCCAAACACATGGTACACATGTGGGTCATATTCTAATTAGGCTCTCAAATAATTTGGAATCAAAAGTGATTTTTTTTCCCTGAAGCTTCCTAATTCAAATGTTAGTAGTGCATAAAAAGGTCAAGAGTTTATCTTTCAATTCAAATAAGAACAGAGAGAAAACAGTCACCTCCACCATAGCCTTAGATGTGAGCCAACAGATTGTAACAGCCTTGAGATGAAGACTTCACATTCATGGTGATGGTAGTAGAATGGTGGTGATGGTGGTGGTGATAGTTGTGGTGGTGGTTGTTTAATAGGAAAAACAAGTTTTCTTTTAAATACAAGTACATAGTAAATATTCTCCCACAACAAGGTGGAAAAGATACATGCCACCATGGATTATTCCTCTTACCATAGGAATCTTGGGCTTATCCATGGAATCTTTCTGATATATATCTACACGGGGAGGGGGAGTATAGTCTTGGACTTTTGCCATTTCTATGATGCTAAGAGCCTGATCCCTGATAGGAGGCTGATACTAACAATGTGGAATGGCTTCATTAACAAGGCTTTGCTTCTTCCTGGAACACTGGTGAAAAACCAAGCCCTGTTGTGTATCCCCCTCGATGCAGCATCTGTGTTGTCTTCACCTAGAAACGGGGGATGATTTCCACAGCGGCAAAGAGTTGGGGTGATGATGTCTGCACCTTGCATCAAGTCTCTCTCTCTCTCTTTGTTTTCCAGGACACAATGTAGGAAGCCTTTTCCACTTGGCAGATGATTTGGGCAGAGCGATGGAGTCCTTAGTTTCAGTTATGACAGATGAAGAAGGGGCAGAATAAATGTTTTACAACTCCTGATTCCCGCATGGTTTTTATAATATTCATACAACCAAGAGGATTAGACAGTAAGAGTTTACAAGAAAAAAAATCTATATTTTTGTGAAGGGTAGTGGTACTATACTGTAGATTTCAGTAGTTTCTAAGTCTGTTATTGTTTTGTTAACAATGGCAGGTTTTACACGTCTATGCAATTGTACAAAAAGTTATAAGAAAACTACATGTAAAATCTTGATAGCTAAATAACTTGCCATTTCTTTATATGGAACGCATTTTGGGTTGTTTAAAAATTTATAACAGTTATAAAGAAAGATTGTAAACTAATGTGTGCTTTATAAAAAAAAAGTTGTTTATAAAAACCCCTAAAAACAAACACATACCTACATACACACACACACACACACACACACACAGACAAACACACAAACACAAACTGAGGCAGCGCATTGTTTTGCATCCTTTTAGCGTGGTATCCATATGAAATTCATGGATTTTTTTTTCTTTTCTTGCATATTAAAGATAGGACTTCCTCTAAGACCACCAAATGACTACTTCACATAGCTCTGTTTGGAATTGTTGACTGAGTGGGACTGGCCATGGGTTTTCATTTTACACATCTATATGTCTATCAGTATGTAAGCACTGTAGGTATATAGGTAAATATAAATTTCAAGAGACATTTAAAATTTCTCGTTCAACTGTTCTTGCCACTTCCTGATGGAAAGAAATTGCTTCTCATCATCCAGGCTCACCTGCTTGGTCTAGAATGAATCCTCCCTGGAACCTGAAGCCAGAAGGAAACTACCACACTAAAACAGTCTAGAGTTCCAGATGTTTCTCATTTTGAACTTTCCACTGACAACTAGAGTATTGAATTTTTTTAAGGGACATATGAATGAATACACAGGACTTACTATGTCAGAGTAATCCACTGGTTGATACATTCAGCTTCCTGCTGCTGACAGTGCCAGGGTTTAGAGTTAGTGATGCTTTGACAAAAGAGCATCTGAAGGCATTTTTAACAACCAGGCAGGAGGGTTGTAGATTCCCTCAGAGAGAGCAGACCACTCTTCATGTAAAGGATTGGATGACTGTCCATAACCTTACAGAGAGAGCTTTATAATTACAACGCAGTTATTTTCTCACAGTGAAACAGCAGTGGGTGTCTTGGTTTTCCAGTTTTGTAAGATTTTTTTTCCCATTTCAGTGAGTTTGTAAATGCCACAAGACTTAATTTAAAATAACCCTTGTGAAAATGTGGAAGACAGTTGCCCCATCACATTATGACACTGTTAAATATCCACCCAGACGCCCAGGACCCCTGCGTCCCTGTTAGCATTTCTCTATAAGTAACTCCAGGAGGTTTGTTGATTGGGAACGCAAATGGATTCAAACGTTCCAAGAGGTACTCCAACCCCCTTTTTGGTGGATTAGGCAGGTTAAATATATATAAGTAAACAAATCATTCAAAAAGAGGAGTACAGGCAAGAGGACTAACTGGTAGGAAAAAAGCTTTACTCTTTCGTCTTATTAGTCTTTCACTTTTTTTATCATCCATTCAATAGAAATCACCCTGTGATCTTATCATTTTGCAAATCTGTTACCTCTTACATCAAGTGTAATTAACTTTTGGAGAGTGGGTTTTGTTCCTTATTTTACTAATGATAATTAACATCAAACATGGCTTCTCATGCTATTTCTACCTCACTTTGGTTTTGGGGTGTTCCTAATAATTGTGCACACCTGATTTCACAGCTTCACCACCTGTCCATTGTGTGAACATTTTCCTCCATTTTCTTTTTACTTTATAATTTCCAAAAGAAAACCCAAAGCTCTAAGGTAACAAATGACATGAAGATTTGATTTTAATCTTAGCATTTTTTTTTCCTTTATGTGACGCTGGACTTTTTCTTTACCTGAGGTTTTGTGTTTTTTTTTTTTTTTTTTTAACCATGATTTAAAACAAGGGGTTACTTTACTTCCTACTAAGAAGTTTAAGTTTCATTCTAAAATCAGAGGTAAATAGAGTGCTTGATTTTGTTTTAATCTTTTTTTTTTTATCTTTTAGACATTAGTTCTGGAGTGAGTCTCAAAATATTTGAATAAAAACTGAGAGCTTTATTGCTACATTTTACACATTAATTTGGATATTATTTCATGTTCCTTATAACCACCGAGTAGTAAACTGTAAGTCATAATGTAACTGAAACATAAACATCACATGGCATGTTATGTCATTGTTTTCAGGTACTGGGTTCTTACTTGCGTATCGTAATATATTGTGTTTTAACACCAACACTGTAACATTTACTAATTATTTTTTTAAAACTTCAGTTTTACTGCATTTTCACAACATATCAGACTTCACCAAATATATGCCTTACTATTGTATTATATTACTGCTTTACTGTGTATTCTCAATAAAGCACGCAGTTATGTTACAAAAAAAACTGTTGACTGCATTGTTTTTATTTTAATTTAGTCACTTTTACGTAGGTAATACTTTCATATTGTCAAAAAATGAAAAATATACAGAGCCAGTGAAAAGACCTTCACTATCTTATTCCCACTTCATCCTCACTGCCCTCTGAATAAATATCAATAATTTCTTGTGTATCCCAAAGTGTCAGTATTATATGAGCAATTACAAACATAGGTTCCTACTTTTTTTTCTTTTCATACACAGAACCTAGCATTCTATGCATTCATTAGTACATCTTGGTTTTTTAAATTTAAGAATGGGCTCAATCCATTCTTAATTATATCAAAATAGATCTTTTTGTTTCAACATATAAAATGCTTTCCTCATACTTTTTTCAGGAAAAAATCCAGGAAACCAGGGATTCCCTGGTGTCTCAGACGGTAGAGAGCCTGCCCGCAGTGTGAGAGACCTGAGTTCGATCCCTGGGTTGGGAAGATCCCCTGGAGAAGGAAATGGCAACCCACTCCAGTATTCTTGCCTGGAAAATCCCGTGGATGGAGGAGCCTAGCGGGCTACAGTCCATAGGGTCGCAAAGAGTTGGACACAACTGAGCAACGTCACTTTCACTTTTTTTCATACTTTTTTATAGATGCCTCATGTCTAGTGGGTGTTTGTGGGGTATTACCTAAGTAGTCCCCTTTGGTGGGACATGTGGGTCATGGTTTTCCTCTTTCACTCTAACAGACAATACCACACATCTCTCGTTTCATCTTTTCACTTGCGTAAAAATATATCCACAGGACACATTCCTAGAAGTGAGCTTTCTGGATCAAAGGTGGTAAGCATTTGTAACTTGGGAGGTAATTTTTATGCAGCAGTGGTTATAGTGTTTGTTTTGTCTTGTGTTTTAGTAATAACAAGTGTATGAATTAACCAGTTTGCCATAGACATGTTGCTTGCCACTTTCTATTATTATAAATGGTATCAGACCTAAGGAGATGTCTGAGCAACAGAAATCATGCCCAAAATGATGTCTCAGAACTGGTCTGGGGAGTACACCCCTCTCCTACATAGTCCTGACCATCACTAGAGGGTACCCCCCCCTCACCCCTGTCCTGATCTGCCTCTGTCCCAGCTGCAGAGGAGGCTCAGAAAGGATTAGCAAGGTCAAGTCCTCTAGCAAGAGCCTATCTTTGCCTCCCACCCAGATTCACAGGGAGGACTTCCCCAACAGTGTTCAGATGCTGGGAAGTCCAAAGAAATGACACAAGTCCAATAAGTACAGCCTATTCTGTGCTGTGTTTCGGAGAAGGCAATGGCACCCCGCTCCAGTACTCTTGCCTGGAAAATCCCATGGGCAGAGGAGCCTGGTGGGCTGCAGTCCATGGGGTCGCGAAGAGTCGGACACGAATGACAGACTTCACTTTCACTTTCCACTTTCCTGCATTGGAGAAGGAAATGGCAACCCACTCCAGTGTCTTGCCTGGAGAATCCCAGGGACGGGGGAGCCTGGTGGGCTGCCGTCTATGGGGTCGCACAGAGTCAGACACGACTGAAGTGACTTAGCAGCAGCAGCAGCATTCTATGCTGGGTTTAGTCAAGCAGTCGTGACTGACTCTTTGCAACCCCATGGACTGTAGCCCACCAGGCTGCTCTGTCCATGGGGATTCTCCAGGCAGGAATACTGGAGTGGGTTGCCATGCCCTCCCCTGAGTTGGGGATCTTCCCAACCCAGGGATTGAACCCAGGTCTCCTGCATTGCAGGCAAATTCTTTACCGCCTGAGCCACCAGGGAAGCCCAAGAATGCTGGAGTGGGTATTCTGAGCCACCAGGAGAGCCCACAGCCTATTCTAGAGATTTGGAAAACAACTGGTGATGGTCAAGCTGGTTAAGAATGGTGTTGAATGGGTGTGGCAATTCTGAAATGAATCCCCAAGTTTTTGAGGCTGGGGTGATGACGCCAACTTAAGTGGCTACTACCTGGTAAGACTTCCCTTGAAATCCACACATACCAGGGCTAATTTTCATCCTGTTTAAATAAATCATGTATCCCCCCTGCCATTCTGCAAACCTGCTTCTGTTTGAAACACCCAGGCTGGCTGTTTTGATGGCATTCAACTAGGTACCTGAGGACTCCAGCACTTGAACCTGTCTGAGACAACTGTGAGGGGCTGACTCTGAGGAGGGCACTTGGCTCTCCTTTCCACACTTGGCAGAGGCTGGAAGGGAGGGAATTATTTCAGTTAAAAATCAAAATGGATCAAGCTGGCACAGCTTGTGCATCAGCAAGCACAATGTGTGTTTGGGGGGAAGCACCAAGACTAATGGATGTGTTTCGTGGAGCCGCGGTGGGACTTCCCGATACTGTAATGCCCTACTAGCAGAATGAGGACAAAGGCAAGCGCTGGCACACTCACAAAGACTCTGGCTTCACATGAAGTGCAGGAAGGACATGAATCGCATTCTTCCCCACAGTAGCAAAGCCTCTAGAGTAGGAACCATAAATACATCCCCCACCGCTCCTGGAGCTGCCGGGCACTGTGATCTCCTGGACTTACCTGACAACACAAGAGCAGCAACAAGCCAGAGGTGCAGTAACAAGCAATATTCTGTGAGTGTGTGAAGTCTGGGGATGTTCCAGAATGGCTTTCATAGAGAGATGAATTTCTCATAATCGCATAAAGATGATGTACAGTAACTTTAGGCTTAACTTCTCTGTGTGTGTGTGCCTGCACACACATATGTGTTTGCTTTGTATATATTCACAACACTTTTGGCTCTTCTGTAACTTTCCATTTTGCAATAAATCAAATTGGAGCCTTGGTGTGAGCCTTGATCAGGGAATCAAGATCCCGCATGCCATATGTTCAAAAAAATAAAAAATAAAAACAAGGAACCTTTCACTAATATTTTATCACTCCAGGATTTCATTACTCCTATTAAGATTAGGAAACTCAATTCCGTGTAGGTATCTGCTGACCAGCTTACGTATGATAATCACCACAAAGTTTCAAGGATGGCAGTCCTTATGTTTACTATTTGTTAAGGCATATGCATTTCATATATTTTTGATACATTGAAATATCTAAGCAAATTATAATATTTAGAACACAAGTGCCAACATAGCCATTTATTCATTTTATGACTGTCCAATCACTTATTTAATACTTACTGAATTGACTGTTGCCAACAAACAAATAATTAAAGCCATGTTCATGAAATTCCACATTCCAGTCGAAGAGTCTGCCACAGAGAGGTGGGCAGAGGCTTGATTAGACAGTAAAGAGTTGCTCCTTTATTTGTGGTGCAATCTAAAGTCACTGGAGGATTTAAGCAAGGTAATAGTATGATCTGATTTGAGCCGAATGTTTTTAAATGATCATTTTGGCTGCTGTCTAGAGAATAGACTATGGCAGAGCAAGGGTAGAAACAGGACCCATTTTAAAGTAAACTGTACTAGCTTAGAAAACAATTGACAGTGTTTCAAACTAATATATTAGGAAGTGGAGAGAAGAGGATGCACATGTATTTGGGGCGTTGAACTAACACAATTTGCTAATAGATTGTACTTAAAGGGAGAGAGAAAGGGGGAAATTGAGGACAAATTCTATCCTATTGTCTGGCCAACTGGATGGCTGGAGATGCCAGTAACTGATAATAATATTAGGAAATATTATTAATATTTATATTAATATATTAATATAAATAATATTAGGAAAGCCATGGGAAAATAATGTTAGAATTTTAGGGTGGGGTATCAGGAGTCCAATTTTTTTTTTATTTTCGGAATGTTGAAGGTTTTTTTCCATTTATTTTGATTAGTTGGAGGCTAATTACTTTCCAATATTGTAGTGGTTTTTGCCATACATTGACATGAACACACTGAGTTTGATATCCATATGAAGATGTCTGGGAGGTAGCTGGCTATTGGAATCTGGCATTCAGAAGGGAGGGCAGGGTTGGAGATGTAAGTATGAGAGCCATGAATGTACAGGTGACATTGAAAACCATGGAACAGGATGAATTATGCAGAGAAATCATGCAAAATAGAGAAGACCCAGAAGCTCAATCTTTTAGAAACTGGGAAGGAGTAGCAGAGTCAGAAAGGAGACTGGAAGGGACAAGAGTGGGAGGCTAGGAGAGTTTGGTGTTCTAGAAGCAGGTTCAGGAGACTGGACCAGGTAGAAATCCAATTGGAGTTTAAAGATATTTAGGAGAAAGGAAGTAGAGACAATGCATGTACACCACTCTTTCAGTAAATTGTAATGGGAATGGAACAGAGCTATTACTTTTTTTCTCTGAAAACACAGTATTTAAAGATTATACCTTTGATCACATTTCACTTCTGCTACAAATCAAATCACCCCAAACATAGTTACTTAAAAGATAATTTTAAAAAGGATAAATATTTATACTTGCTGACTATTTGGCAGGCTGTTCGTCTGGTCTGGGTAAGCTTGGCAGAGCTTGGCTTGTCCTGATGGCCTCATTCATATGTCTGATTGTTGGCTCTATGGCAGGTAAGGAAGAAGATGACTTAGCCATGTGTCCCACATCATCCAGCAGGTTAGCCTGGTCTCATTCACATCTCGTGATTATAGAGCTTCCAAGACCAATGCACACTTTGCAAGTCTTTGCTTATGTTACACTTGCTATGGTTCCATTAACCAAAGCGAGTCACATGGGCAAGCTAAAAGTAGACGTGAAATGCTCAAGGACATGAAGAGAGAGAGGAAATTACTGCAGTCCTTTTGGCAAATAATCCCCCACAACTATTAATGTATTTATAATTATGTGAATTCATCCTCCGAGTTGCTCATGTTAGAAATCTCCAAGTTATTTTCTACTTTTTTTCTCTCCTAGTGTAAAATGGGAATTATTTAATTTACTAAGTAAAAATGTCTTTTGTGGAAAATCATTTTCTCTCTGTACTTTAATAATCTAAATATTAATATAAACTTTGATCACAGACGCATTATGGTTTTAATTAATTATATTCAGAAGCTGGAGAGAAGTAACATAATTGG